TATTGATTACTTGTTCGAATTAAAGTGTTTGTCTTACAAATTGTCAAGTTACTAATTAGAATGTTGTACTGATTCATTGTTCGATTTTTAGTGTTTGTCTAACAAATTGTCAATTTACCGTGTACAACCCTTATTTTTAGTGTTTGTCTAACAAATTGTCAATTTACCGTGTACAACCCTAATCACGTACCAAGAAATTTGCAATTTCAATAGATATCAAAATGTTGACAATATCATAAAAACTAAATGAGTAGTGGTCAAAACATGTACCAAAATGTACTAAATAAAATTAAAATGGAAAAATATGTCAAAATAATTCCTTTAGAAAAAACAAAATATTCCAGAATGTATATGAAGCAATACGTTTATTAGGGAAAAAAAAAAACATCAACAGGACAAGTCGTTATCCGAATCATCATCTGAAGTCTCGTCTGGGTATCTTATCATGTTATGTGGGCTATTGTACATGTTTAGAGCCAATGATTTTCTTGCAGTTACTGATTGTTCCTGCAAAAAAAAAAAAATTATAGTCACATAAATAATATAAAAATAATTGGTACTCATATATGTTCATCAAAACCAACTTGATTGTTAATATTGCTCACATTGCTCAATGGTGCGTTGAATTCGTTGCCCAATAGCATTAGCATGCACACGTACAATCCACAGTCGTACCTGTTGGTATTTAATTGTTAGTTTGTACTGTACTGAAAATGTATGAAGAAAATTGTCAGTGTCTTAAACTTACGTATTTTGTTGAATGGGTACCCAATCCGCCTTTTTCGTAATTCAAGAGAGTTGAATTGAATCTCGTTTTCGCCTCTCCATTGTCCCATTTCATCAACACTTTCTCTAGTCGTTTTACCTGCAATATTAAGGAAATGATTAATTATACATAAGGTTGTCAATATATTAACGTCTCAACAGTAACGGGAACTAATATAGTTATGGTGTAATTACCAATTTTGTTACAGGGTCCATCCGATGGGTATCGGATTCTGCTGTAGGTAGAGAATCACAAATAGACACCGTATGTGTGTTAATATCTATAATGACACAAAACCAATGTTCCAAATTGTCATTAATTGGTATGTGGATATTCTTAACAGTGGATAGGGAACCAAAGAAAGTTCTATCCTTTGAAAAATATTTCTCAACCATATCTTCAAGGCTCCAGGTTTTGTCTTCCATCATCATTTGCTGAAGTACACAACAATTTACATATTTTTAGTTTATTTAATTTTGTATTAGAAATCAGATGTAAATAAAAATCATATTACTAAAATATTTTGACGAAATACGTACGGAAAATTTACTAGGAAAGTACCAACAGGTACGATCGTCATCTTTTTCAGCCATTTGCAGCGTCCGCATATACGCCACGCAGTCGATTACCTACATAAGGCAAACAAATATTGTAATTACAGATGCTTTATATAACTATATCAAAAACAAATAAATAAGGTTCGACTTACGGCGCCACTAATGTTAGATGCAGGGAGCAAGGTCAACAGTTGTTGCCTATTAATATACCATTTTCCAAAATCCAGAACTACCTGATTACTGTTCAAAATAAAAGAACATTTATTTAGCTCCAATGAAATAGGTTGTAACATTATTATATTTTTAAGAATTACTCTCACCTCACATCAGAATCTGTGTTGAAAAGTTTGCGAATAATTATTTCCCCATCCATAGGTTTTTTCAGTCCAGAAGACTCGAATTGGTCTTCGTTTCCAACGTAAAGTACCTCATCACCATCAATATTCATCATCGCTAGTGAGATCAATTGTGTCCGAGGCATCAGCACTTTTGTTAGCACTTTTATTGTCAATGCCGTTGAAAGTTAAAACCTTTGGCAATAGCGATTCGTTTCTAGACAAACTTGTTGGTCTGGACGAAGTCCAAACCCTTTACTCAACGTTTTGCTTTGTGGATTTCGAAGTAGATCCCCTATTATTGAGAGATGGTGTGCGGTCCAATTTCTCCGATTGTCCAGTCAGCAATTTCGGTAGTGTCTCGCGAATCATCGATTCTACCATTTGCGGGATCTTAGTTATGCATCTCTGGATATCCGTAGCAATGGTACTAAATTCCCCCGCTCCAGTCACGCGTGATGTGGTACCATTACTCGATAATATTGCTTGCATGTCCTTCCGCAATTGTGAAACTCAAAATTCGAGTGACGTTATCCGCGAAGTCAACATTGATGGCATCATTCCAATTTCAGTAGCAGGAATGACTTTGCGCGTGCGGGGTGGCCCTGATTTTGTACAACTATTGTACGGATATACATGTGATGTACGACCACCGTATAATTGGTGTTCAAAGTCATTGATGTTGTTACTCTTTGTTGAATTAGTCGGAATTGATGATTCAATCGAATTCGCTTTAGTTGTCTCAAACCCCGTAAGCTGAAATTGAAAGTTTTATTATGCATAATAATGTTTTTATACGAAAAAAAAAATTTGGAATTAGTCGACCAAATATGTTATGCGTTGAACTTGTAATGAAGTTACCATTGCGTTGCCGTAACCGCCATTTGACATCAACTCTTTGCATAGTGATTTGGAATGCATTTTTGACAAGTGTTGTATGAAAGGGACTTCTTTGCTGAGATCTAATGAATATTTTGACCCGCTTGTACGTACTCTTCCCAGGTAAATAACCTGCATCAGTGTCAGTTGATGTTAGCATTCTAAATCATTATATCAACTTGATGTGAACAATTAAATGTAAAAACAATAACATTACCAGTAGTAGATATGCACATCCACCAACAAATTTTGTCTTTGCATTACTTCTCCATTCATGTATCCCACGGTTTATTTTGTCAATAACTAAGGAAGCCCAATTCACTTTAGGTGTTTCAATAATATACTCAACTAAATTGAGGTAATGGGTTGGAATGTCATATTGATCACATGGGTATAGAAAAACACCGAACAAAAGGGTGAAGTACATAATCTTAAAAATTTTGTCATTGTTGATGTTCTTAGTCTCAGTTAAATGGGACATGAGATCTGTCGTATCCAATTTAGAATGGCGAAAAATCCGACGAAATTTAAGTTTGAGATGAATCTTATCCGTGAGTTCTATGCTAATCTGGAGAGGGCTGTTGGTGACGAGTTATCTTGCCGTTTTGGGAAAATTTATGTTCGTGGCAAAGTGTACGAGTTCACCCCGAAGTTGTAAAATAAGATACTTGGCACGAATGAGAAGGGAGCTTCGAGATCAGGAGTATCCCACGAGGATTTGACAAAAGAGATGACCGGAGGAAAGATGAAGCAGTGGCCTGTGGTTGGTCTGAAGCGTACACAACTCACGAAGGTTTACGCCATATTGCATGAGATAGGATGTGCAAACTGGTTTCCAACTTTGACTTCGAATGTTGTGTCAGTGGATCAAGCTGATTTCCTGCATGCTGTCGGTCACGGTGTTGAAATCAATGTCGGCGAATTTATTTTCCGGCGAATATTGGAAGAGGCGGAGCGTGTTTCTGATGTTTTAATATTTCCTATTTTAATATTTTCTTTGCTTTGTGAACAGAAATACGTTGTCAGCAAGGATGCAACTTGTAATAGGGTTCCTGCTTATCCAATTGTGATTCCGAGTCCGGAGACTGCATTCCGTGAAATGTTGCTGGGACAGCTGCATGTGAGGCGTGAAGAAGTCGCTGCTATGGAAGCCAAGATACAGGCCCTCTCTGCCCCTGGTGCAAGCTTATTTCCCGGATCAACTTCTGCCTCTCCATGATTGTCATTGAAAAAAAAGTCTTTTGTTGCTGGTTTGTTTTTTAACAATTTATTAAATTTGGAACAATATTTTATATTTTGTTTTTATTTTGGATAAGTTGATTTTTGATGCATGATTGGGTCTGCTACCCCAATCTGCATATTAAATGTTATGTTTTGTTTTTTGAATTAACTATGATTTATTTTTGATTCACTTTGTGGAGGATTTCTGAATTTGAACAATAATCTTTTGATTGTTGTTCTTATAGTTTTTGCCTTATGTATGTGATAATTGCATTTGCAGGTTCACATAAATGCTATGATTTATTTTATGTTCATTTTGAGGAAAATCTTTGAATCTGGACAATTTTGTTTGGATACCTAGTTATTTGATATTTTGCATTATTTATGTGATTATTGGATTGGCAGGTGTAAGTAGGTCATCTGTTTTTGTTTTGGTTTCAATTTGAGAATGTTTTTTGAATATGAACAATTTTGTTTGGATTTCTTGTTATTGGATATTTTGCATTATGTATGTGGTTGTTGGATTTGTAGGAACAAGTAAATGATCTGCTTTCTTTTGGGTTTCAATTTGAGTTGGTTGTTATAATGTACTTTATTTATGTTTGGATTTGTAGTTGAGTATATTAATTTTGTTTGGAATTGTGTAAGTAGTTTTGTGTAATATCATTATTGTAAATTACAGAATTTGTACTTTGTTTTCATAGTTTGTAATGCGAGTGCAATATTCCTAGACTTAACATTGTTTTCATAGTATAGTTTGTGTACATAATTAGGTAATGCGTTACTCTAATTTGATAACTTGTTTAATCTATGAAGATTTTGCTTACAAAATAAGGTTTTATATTGTATTTATGTTTTTCCAAATGCAGTTGTATTTAATAATATCATGTATGCTAGGGTACTATCTGTTTATTATGTTTGTAATTTAAGACAATAAAGGTAATATGAATGAAAAGGCATAGTACAAGTTAGTGACAAAAGGGAATCAATTTTAATACAACTTATTGAAACATGTACAACTTGAGGGCGGTGTAATTTTACATTGAATGTAACTGAAAATTTAATATATTTGTAAAAGTTTTTCATCAAACCCTAGTGCAATAACCCAATAAATGAATTGTAAAACCTAATGCAACATAGACTATAATAGTGAACCAAAAGGAAATCTGTTTTAATACAACTGTCTTATAGTAATCCAAAAGGTAAAAATGAGTCAATAAATAACATTTAAATAAATTTAAATTACATTTGTTGCCTCATGTGACGGTATGTATCCAAATATGATGAGTTCAAATGAGACGTCGAATGACTTGTTCCTTCCTGAAAATCCGTGTTAACAAATTAATATGAAAATGTTAACAAATTCGTGTCTCAATATGAATAATAGATATCATTACAAACATGTGAATGGATCTCACATGCAGAATTTTTGAATATGAATAATAAATATCATTACAAACCTGTGAATGGATTCCACCTGCAGAATTGTGCAATTGTTGACGTTCAATATTTAAAAGAAGGCTAGTATGTGATCCAACGTATTCCGGTGTGACAAATTGCGATGTGTTTGACGAAGGTTGGACAAAGGAGTCCTCTGTGATAGCGTTACCATAACCAGCATTTTCTAATGGGTTAATACGTGCTGAATGTTTCGCATTAGCCCTTGCACGAGAAGCTGGCTTCTGCTCACAAGTTGTGGTCTTGTGTCCAGGTTTCCTTCAACGTTTGCACAACGAAATTCGTAAACAATATAGGATATGAAATTCAAATAATATTGACAAAAAAATAAGAAATACACCAACCTGCATAATCCGCATAGATGCTTCTTAGCTTTGGATCCGCCCTTAGGAACAATCTTAGCGGGATCACCGACATGTGGGACGTGTTTGAAATTTTCAATTGGTTCCTCATTATCACCTTCATCAGCATCATCATCATCATCATCATCATCATCATCATCATCATCATCATCATCATCATCATCAGGATGATCAACCAAAGCCTTCTTCGATACTCTGCCGTGAATTTTCATAGTAGGATCCAAGTATGAGAAACGAGATGTGAGGTTCTTGCCAACGTCAACAAACCACCGAGGATAGATACTCTTAGCAGGAAATTTAGTAAGTGTCAAATTCTTAAAACCACATATCAAATGGCGACAAGGGATGCCATCGGACTCGAGCTTACTACATTCGAATTGGAATTCTTCGTTGTCCAAATCGATTACGGTGGTAAATGTACGAGGCCTTGCCTTGCTATGATCTTCAAAGATGAATGTGTGCCGCCGATTAACAGGTACACTTTTGTTGAGTACAATTATGTTTGCCTCCTCCTTCAGCTCCTTTTGTATATAATCGAATATGGCTCTAGTGCATACGCGACCGGCATGGTTCTCAAGACCGCTTAATAAGCCTGTACGCTTCACTTCTCTTGGTGGATTCTCAGATTCCTTCTGCAATACGTGAAACCTCTTTCGAATCCTCTTCAAGAAATTATTGTTGTACTGCCTAAACAAATCTGTAAGGCTACAACCAGAACTCACTTTCTGTTTCAGTGAAGCGTTCATTGACTCTGCACGTTGGGTGCTTCTCATCATAGAAAAAAACTTGCCTCGAAAAAATGCTTCTGCCCATAAATGTCGTTTTGAGTATATGTCTTGTATCCATGGATGGTCGGCAACACCGAACTTAGCAATCAATGTAGACCATCTAGCTTCAAATTGGGCCACAGAGCATGTACTTTTCATTAGCTTGGAAAAACATGTTGAGAATCCTGGAATTTTTATATTAGTTTCGGCATTACGTGAAATATGCCAGCAACAAAGCCGATGAGTTGCTTTAGGAAAAACATCTCTAATGGCTGCGCACATTGCTGCATCTTGATCCGTCAAAACAGCTGTGGGTGTTTTTCCGTTCATGAATTTTTGAAACGTTTGTAGCAACCAGGTGTATTGTTGAGTCGTCTCCTTGTACATAATAGCAACTCCGAAAATACAAGTGCACAAATGAGAATTGACTCCAGATAACAACACTATAGGAAACCTATAGATGTTGGTCTTGTAGGTGCTATCAAATAGAATAACATCACCAAAATGTTCATACTCGGCTCTTGAAATCCCGTCGCACCAAAAGATTCTTGTAAGTGCATTGTTTGCGTCGACACTGTGCTGGTACTCAATTGATTTATCATTTACCTTCATGCCGTTCAGTAGACCCAACATAGTGTTCGCATCACCTCCTTCAATCCTTTTCAACCTTTCCCCATTCAGATAGTTGTACGCGTCTTTCCGATTAAATAGACGTGTTTCACTCCCTGCACATGCTTCATCTAAACAATCAATAACATGACTTGGTTTCATCCCAACATCAGTCATCAATTGCAACACGTATTTTGTTTCGTTGCTCATTAATCTGCATGCAATATGGAATTATATAAGTATACAATGGATTCAGTTTACAAGGCAAAATTGATAAGGAAAAAAATATATCATACCATCATGCAAGGATGTCAATATAAAAGTAAAACCGGAACGATTAGATTACCTATTGCAACATAGTATATGACTCGTATCGGGCGTTTCTAGGCGGTGACTGTGATCGGGATTGAATGTAGTCACCCGATATATTCCGGTAGAACGATCAAGTGCAAAACGGAATATGGCTGGGCATCCACACCGCCTGTCTTCTTTCGGTGCACGCGATCGATCATAATCCTTAATGCGTGTGTCACGATACCCAGCTCGAGTACAAACCCAAACCCTATTCAGAACGATGTTTAAATCTGTTTTTTTTTCTTTTCAAAGAGTGCTTGCGAATGTCAAATCCTGTTAATTGACCGTACCTAAAATAATATTGATCGGCCTCATGTATATCAGCAAAGGTTAATGACATCATGCGTTTAATTAATTGCAAACGATCATCGTTCTCGTCAATGTCGCCGGTGTTGCCTTGCAAATTGAAATTCATAACACTTTCGTTTTCGTCTTCAGCATTCCTTTGTGATTTACAATTAGAAGACCTTCGATCTTCAATACAATAAATATATGGGATTAAAGTAAGAAAACTATTAAGGATTTCGACCAAAACCCTAATTATTGAAATACAAGTAACATAAAGAAAACTATTAAGGATTTCGACCAAAACCCTAATTATTGAAATACAAGTAACATACCAACTTCGTCGGGGTTAGACATCCTTGAATAAACGTATTCTGAAGAAATAGTGTAACGATTCACCAATTCGAATTTGTAGCAAAGTAAGAATAAATTAATGGATCGAAAAAAATGATGAACAATTGAATTGATCGTGAAACCGTAAGACCAGATTTCGAAGATGAAGATGGAGAACGTATTTGATTTGGTTAGAGATTAGGGGATAAATCAGCATAATTAGGAAATAATATCGATTAGTTTTTTTATTACGTTTGTGTATAAGGTTATTATGGTCATTCAAAAAAACAGTAATAAATTAATTAAAATTGCATTAAAAATATAGAGGGTAAAATTGACATTACATTATTAATATATAATGACCGATTTTTTGAAAATACTAATTATACGAAGGGTATTTACGACAATACGTAAATGAGGAAAAATTGGATTTTTTGGCAGGGACACGTGGCTCAATATAAAGGGGGTATCTCATATAAGTTTAGAATATGGGATCTCACCCTAGAAAGACCCTAATTTTCAATGTCGTTTAAAAAAATTACTGAAGAAAAAATAGATTAGGGTTACAATGATATAAGTAAAGAAACAAAATTTACGGTTATTAAATAACAAAATACTAATTTAACCCTAGGGATATAAATATTTTGCAAAACTGCATCTAGGATTTTATATAAAGATGACACCATCTTCCTTTTATTTGGAATCATTATTCATTATTGGAAATGCTCGTTTAGGAAAATAAATACGAATCACATAATCTCGTAACATACACGTGATTTGCATTTAATTTGCACGTGCTTTGCACTTAATGTGGGAGAACTGAAGATGTTTTGGCGACAAACGAGTTTGGGTTCGAACCAATCTTATCTAAGGCAAACACCTTATAATTAGTTTAATTTTCACTCATAAATCCTAAACAATTGGGAGATACTACAACGGTGGTGTTTGCAAAAACTTATAAAAATAGATTATGAGCTTTTTTTCTCACATAATCGGTTTTTAGGTGTTCGCAAAACTGACTTTTGCTTTTGCTTCTCTAAAAATAAGTTGCTTTAAGCTATAATTTTAAAAGCACCCATGTATCTGATTTTTCTATTTAAATTGATTTTACAGTTTTTATGCAAACAACCCCAACTTTTAGAACTAAGCACTTACTATCAACTTAACTCATAATCACTAACTTATGCTTTTAAAAAGCCTTTTGCAAACACCACCTAGGTTAGTGGAGATAATTATAATAATAATAATAATAATAATAATAATAATAATAATAATAATAATGATAATAAAAAATAAGATAAAACAAATTCTAATTTGGAATTGAAATGGGAAAAAAAATTACAACCTATTTATTTTGGGATTATATTAAATGAAACTAATGGATATTACTTGAAACCATTAAAAAGCTTGAGGCAATGGTTAGCGAGGGGCTATCTCAAATAAACGCAAAAATACAATTACTATGAATTAGTGTATTAAAAAAGTCCGTATCATTCGACATCAAATTGATTCCATTTAATTAATAAAATAATTGATAGGACAAACAACCAATATAATTATATAACCCTGACAATCTTAATAGTTAAATCAAGTTCTAAAAGAATCAATAAAAAAGAAATAGCAAGACAAAAGTAAATGAAAAATAAAGGAAAAAACGTATTACAAAGAATTATTTAAATTACATGCAGTGTTTTGAAACTTGGACCCGACCGGCCGATTGAACCTATTAAATCGCGAACCATTGACTTGTTCAGTCCGGTTTGACCAGTTGAACCGTAATATCGGAATTCGAGTAAAAATCGGAGGTTTTTTTTCTCCAAAAAATGTATTTTTTTTATAAAAGTAAACAAATGAATTGGCCAAAACGACGTCTTTTTACCGTCCGCTTGAACAAAAAAATCAAAAAAAAAAAAAAAATTGAAATCGGACGACGTGTTACTTTTTATTTTAATTACTATAAGATTTGAATGATTCGGTCTGACGTGGGTGTGTTGATATGTTGTGTGTGTAAAAGAGAAATAAGTTTGATTTACATTTTAAATGACAATGAGTAGCGAGTTAATGTGTGTGAAAGAAAATATGTTTTATTTACTATAAAAATTAGTGTTAAATACAAAAACACCCATGTACTATGAACTTTGTATCATATACCTCATGTACTACACATAAATACAAAACCCCCCCTCACATTACATTTTTTCCAAAATATGATGAAAATACCCCTACTCAAGCATATATATTGATGATGCTAAATACTTAGATCACCTGGGATAGTGTGGTAAACGAGTTGGGAGAGGAAAGCGGATCAGTAGCGTGTCAATTAGATGGTCCTGAGGTTCCTGCGAAATTAACACACGTGAACTAAGTGGGGGGTTGATCCGGCGGAAACCCCTCCGACCCTCAAGTATGATGTACGGATCGTGGAGATAGTAGAGAGAATATGTGCTCTAGAATATTTGTGAATAATGGAACGTACCTTAACAAATGAGTAAAAACCTCTATTTATATGTCGTTGATTGGGTTGGGTTTACTTTGTTGGGCTCAAGCCTTATTTTGAAGGTGTTTGGGCTTTCGTGTAGCGGACACAATTATTAGATAAATTGTGGGTCCATTGAATCGGCCAAATTAGGTATATCAGTAAGCCCCCCAACTCTCGAGTCGAGACGGGAGACTTGTCGAAGAGGTTCCGGATCGTGTCGAGAGTTAAATGTGCCGTGGTTTTGTGGTAGAGTAGAATATATCCCCGGTTGAGTGGTTGAGTATTTTTGTCGGAAAAATATATTAATCATGGTTAACTCGGGTAAATTGAAATCTTCGCGTATCAAATTTCGAGATCCGGTTAGAAGGGGCGAGATGCCTTTCGATACTGTGGGTATGGAGTGCGAGAAGCTGGTAGTATCGGATGTGGAGGCTATTACGCAGATCGAAGGGAGAAGAGGGGAGGCTGGTGTCGGTGGCGGCTCGGCTGGGTTCCTTGGCTTGGACCGAGCCGTCAGCAGCCAACGCATGGGTGAGGGCGCGCGCCCCGAGGAGACGGTTGAGCCGAGTGGGGAAGTGGAGCCGGCGGTGTTGGGTGCTAAATACCAACACGCAAGTGTACGTATCGCAAACAAGTAGTAAAGTAGACTCGTGAGAGTCGGATGTCGATCCCACAGGGAATACGCAAATTACCTAATCCTAAGTACCAAATCCTAACAATTATGATTTTTATTCAGCCTACGCAGGGTTGTCAATTTAATTAACTAAATAAAATAAACTAATTAAGAAAGCAATTAAACACGAGAAAATATCAATATAAAACGGATCTAGGATTTTATCTTCCCCCTATGCAATAATTCTTCACCCAATTAATCTCCTATTATGCAAGTTACGATTCCCGATTATTAACCCAAGACACGAAAATTATTCATAACCAGCTGTCGCTGCGTTATAAACCTATTATTCATAAAAGATTCACTATATGTCTATGCAAACCTCGTATAAATAAAGCATTAAATAACAAGTCTCGACAACGGCTACCTAAGGTATTATCTGTATGTCTACGATAATACATGCAATCAACACACGCATTCGGTGAAAAACTACTCGAAGGCTCTTCTATCCCTGTTCTAATTATTAAAACGATCTGTCAATCAATTCTAACAATAACAACTAGCAACATAAGTTAGCTACGCTCATGCACTAAATACGATCAAGATAGAAGAAATAATCGAAGAATTAAACTTGCATAAAAGTAGAAAAATAGGTTCGAGTTACCACATAGGGTTCCAATAAAATCCTAGAATAAAAACTTAGCTACTCATGTTCGTTACGAAAAGCATAATAAAAATACGAAAATTCATAAAAATCAGAAAAGAAAAGGAAAAAGGAAAACTAGGATGAAGAGTCGTCAAGTCTTCGTCTTCGTTCTCTTGCTCCTTGATTGCGTGTAGAAAAGATAAAAAAACTAAAAACTAATAATAACGATAAAAGGTAAAAGATCCATCTAATTGTGTGCTTGTGGCCTTTAAATAGGGTGCAAAACTATAATAGGGCGGGTTTCCTTGTGTAATTGAGTTTCCTTCACTGCGCCATCACGTCCACTCGGACGGCCGTGTGAGATTTTTAACTAAAATCCGCACGGCCGTGCGGTCTTTTAATTCTCCAGAATTCTGCTTTTTTCACTTTTGGTCCACTTTTTCTCTGAATTTGCAGTTTTCACCCCAAAAGTTGTCAATTCTCCAATTTGCACCTAAAAT